AGCCTAGTTGTCTTCTGTGAATATATGGGCCTCCAGTATCCAGATTCAGTCAAAAAGTTGGGAAGGAGGTGCATCGCTGGTGCTTTCAAGACCTTTAAAAATCCCAACATAATGGCCCAATCCAGTCTGCAGCAGGATCCTTCTTTTGGCTGCTGCTGGGCTGTGAGTAAGATTGCTTGAGATTTATGTTTTGGTTGACCAATCTTCTACTTCTCCTTCAGCTACCCATTTTGTTGGCACTGGTGCAGAATCAGGCCCTATTGTGATTGGCAGCATATGCCTGTTATGATGGAAATGTGGAAATACTTATATTCTTTGTGTTATATATATACACACACAGATAAAATTTAATATGATGTTAACTGGCTTCAAGAGTTGTTCACTCTTGCAGCAGCTGCCAAGGCTCATCTGCAGTGCTGCAATTCTTCTCTAAAAGTTGGGGAAGCCCACTTCTAAAGCCCCAGTAAAAGCCTACCGTAGGCTAATCTAGTTTTTATGCATTTTAAAATATGTACAAATATTGTAAACCAAATAAGGTTTATATGTACCCAGGATTAGCCACTAAGTACTTCAAATAGAAAGCCTGTCTTTTGTAGGTACCCAAATATTTACAGAGTGTCTTGAATGAGGAATTAGATACCCTACTCAGCCCTGCCAAATTATTTAATGATCTTTTTCGCTTATTAAGCTAGATATCTAATCTACCGAAACCTTAAAAACACGCCCAGGGCCTGGACACTGGCAGCCAAACACATCACAGAGTGCTTGTTAGAAATTACCATTGCGTTGTTGAGATAGCCAGCAACATCCCACTGACCTGCAGGGTTGAAAGAAGAAAGATTTAGTGGGGAAAAAAAACCCCAACTGCCAGCAAAACCAAACATTACAAAAAAAAAATAAAACCAGACCATGATGGTGTTTAATTTAGTGCAAAGGTGAAGGTTGGGCTGAGAAGATGAGCGTTGCATGGGTGGGTAACTGCAGAAACTCCTCTTCCCCCTCCTGCTTCCTCTGTGGCTTTTCTGATGGGCAGCAAATGAAAGCTTATCCCTTTTTTAAATTATTTTTTTTCCCCCATTAAATCTGCACAAGCATTAACTTTTCAGACTGTGAGATTCAAAGTGCTATACCCAACACAGAGCCCTTTCTTCTGCCTTTGATTTTATGCACATTTCAAGCTGGTCAAGGGAGTACATGGGGGTGTTGCAATGGGTTTTGTTTAGGTTTGGTGATGGGGTTTTAGCTTTCATGCTGCCAGCCTTCCCAGGATTATTGCCTATTAATTGCCTCTTAATAAAGATGCTGACCAAGGAAAGGAATATTTTTTCCTTGGTGCTAGATTTCCAAACTTGATTGGCTTTATTAAATGGAAAGACAAATAAATTTAAACCCTGCATCGAGATATCTTAGTGTAAGACACTGGCGGTTAGAGGTCACAGAGTCATTTGGACTTCCTTCCAACAAAAGCAACATCATTTTTCAGTGTCCAGCCCCACAGCATCCTGCGGTGCCTCACAAGTTGTTAGTGTCCACACCTGCTCTGTGCTGCGTGGAGTGGGGCTGAGCCCTTGGATGGGGCAGGATCAATCCCCAAGACATATCTTTTACGCTCGTGGTTTGGAGCCCTGTTTGATCTCCTACAGCGTAGTTAGATAAAAGCATATGGTTGGGAATTCCTTGTTCTGTTAATAAAGCAAAAAATCCCCTTTATATAAGGAAAAGTACCCTTTCCTTCACCTTGTGAAGGATGTTACAATTCAGCAGGTAATCTCAGCTGCATCTACCTTTTTTTTGCATGGGAATAAGCAAATCCCTTTGTTTTGTGCTTTGGTTTCCTCTGTCTGTGAGACGGGCATAACAGTGCTACTCTGGTTGCACAGTCCTATATGGATGTGCCAGGGTTGCCTCTATGCCTTAGGGTATGGTCCACATGCTGCTGTGTAATTTCTCAGCATGTGGATACCAGTACTAAGGAGGATGTGAGGCCCTTCTACAGTGATACTAAAGATTTTGCAGTAGGTCTGTACATGTAAATGAGTCGTAGCCACAGACAGATCAGCCAAACAGGACCTTTTTTGGAGAAGAGTGATCATCCCCAAAATCAGTGTATTTTTTTTGCCTACCGTGTAAATCTGTCGCTCGCTTCAGTGTGAGTCACCATTTGTTACTGTTTTCTGAAATGTATCTCTTTGCATTCTCAATAGTTTTGTGCTGTGCGTAGGGATGGGAAGTGGTGGAGGTTGAAAACTTAGCACTTTTATGGGGTTCAGCTGATGAATTTGTAGATGCAAGTCGCTGCAGCCAGGGATGCATAATCTGAATTTCCTATTAAAACACTGAATTGAAGGGTGGACTTGAACAGAAGAGGTGATGAGGCCAGGTGTACCATCTTGATGGTATAACCCTATGCTGCTTGCCTTCCATTTCCAATGGCCTGTGGGCTGTAGCCCCATTTTTGGATACCTTTGCCTCTGGCAGATCTCCTAGCATGAATAATGTCTCCGTGGTGTTTTCCTGAGAGATCGCAAAGGCATCTCTCTCCACATTTAATTTTCTGTCTTCTTCCAAACTTCCCCCTCTAGTGTTTTTGGGGTTTGTTTTGGGTTTTTGTTTGTTTGTTTGTTTGTTTGTTTTCCTGCAAAACCCATTCTCTGGCTGCCTTTTGGCATCGCTACAGACTTCTCTGTGCTGGAGCCCCCTTGCCAAAAAAAATGTGGGTGGTGACCTAGTCATTTAGACAACCCATCCTCCAAGAAATAACCTTGTGGAAGCAGGGCCATCTTGAGCACGATTTACTGTTTGCCATGGGCTGGGGTCTTCTCTTCCATGGATAATGACAGCTAAAAGAGCAGCCTCTCACCCAGCCCTTGAAATCAAAGGCATGTTATGTCTCCTAAGTAATATCCGTTCAGCTATGGAGAGTGTGTTTATGTTTCTCATGTTAAAAAAGAAAAATGAGGGGAGGAGAATCTGAGGTTACTGTTTTGCTGGAAAAATGTCAAGACTTGATTGGCAATATCCCACTAAACCACAAGTTTGTAGGAGAGAAAACAAAACCATTGGTTTTTTCTGAACTATGCCTATGCGCGCTTTAAGAAAATGTATACCATTTAGGTCAGTTATGCTCTTATTATAGCCGTGGCAAGCGTACATATAATTGAAACGTGGAAATACTACCCCATGCTGTTCAATGAACGAAGGGAAAACAAATCTTTATTATTCCTGCGTTCACATAATATATAGGAACACTATTGTCTTTTTTAAGGCCAGTTTTAGCTTTCAGATGTATTTTATTGTCTGTGGGAACATGTGTTTTACAGACCTGTCATGTGAAAGCTATTAACAAGAGGAACTGGAGAAATAACAATAAGCCACGTAACCGTGGCATGTCTACTCCCTGAGTTCAACTGTTATGCCGCTGCTTCAAGTGCATGTGAAATTGGATCACGCCGAGCGACATTAGCTCTTCTCTTGCAATTTTTCATTGGGAAACTTAAGGATTATTTAAGTGGCCTATTAATATCAGATTGCTGGCATTGGAGGCACATTTTGGGGCCAAGCTGGCTAGGCATCAAAACGGTTAAATAATGGAATGAAGATCAACTGGATTCACACGAGATGTCCGATTTTATTTACCAAATCTGAGCTGGGCGGTCAGTTCTGAAACCTTTCCTCACTGGTTCACACGTGTAGTGGAAAGTGTCCTGCCCTGCCAAGTACCACGGGGCCCAGCATTTGCAATTAACCCATTTCCAGAGTCTGAGAGGATCTGAAAGGGGTCCTGAGTAGTGGCCCTGGCTGCTCTTGAGTACCTGAGAGGATTTGGGTCTATGTGTGATTGTCCCTGCTCACAGATAATGGAGATTTTCCTTTTCTTAAGACTAACAAAACCCCCTAATAATCCTGGATTAGGCAAACCTATTAACATATAGGAAAAGGAGGCAAAATGGATTGCGCAAAGTGAAATACAGAATGTGGTTCGCATGGAGATGGGGAAGATTATTTTCATTACTTTTTAATAACCTGGATGGTACCCTTGCTAATCATATCTAGCAGATTGTGATCGCTACAAATATAGTGGAATATACAAATTTAGGTCAAACCCAACAGCACTTCATTTTTTTTTAATTTTTTTTTTTTTTTTTAATTTTGGAAGGGAAAACTCTCTGTCTCAGACTTCTAGCTGTGTAAACAAATCCACAGATACTTAAGCAAGTTAGTGGTCAACAAATATTCCCTAATGCTTTCTGTATGATCTGGGCGTGAGACCTGTTGTCTTGGCCCAAGGACATCTTCAACCACTGTGCATTTGTTTTCCCCTTGAGTTTCGCTCTGCAAGTGGTAGGAGGGTTTCCTCTACCTTGTGGTTTGTAATTTACTCTGAACACAGGTTTCAGGGAATCTGGGACTTGTTTTGGTGGAGGATGTACCGTTCCTTTCAGTGACAAGCTTAATAGAAAAGATGGAGGGGGAAACTGAGGTGAAGGGAAGGAGAGTGCCCAGCCCAAGGTAACATCGTGGCTGGGAAACACCTCAGGGCTCTCCTTCCAGGTTTGAGGCAATGCTGTATTTCTCTGAAAGACTTGGAAAAATACGGAGTTACAGACATGCAGCAATTTTGAGATGTGCCCTCCATAGTGAGTGTCCTAACCCATTACCACATGTTTTTGAGCATTTCTGCTCTATGCCTGGTGCTAAGGTCCAGCTGAGCCATGCAGATGCAAGTCTCCTGCATAGAGGGTTCACAAACAGCATTTAAAAACAGTTTTCACATGGCTTTGTTGTGATAGAAGGTGAATGGGCTCTGGGAGTTCAGCAGCTCTTGTGGATGGGCTGGTTGGATGCATGCCCAGCTTGCATGGATGCTCAAGGATGGATGTCCCACAGCTGCTCAAAGCATGTAGTCTTATGGCATTAGTAGGTACAAACAGACATATACCCTGTAAATACAGAGAGAGGAGGGAGTCAAGGAGGGCGTTAAAGGCATAAAAGTAGTGGGGATGGAGTGTAGCCACGCTGACCAGGTAAGAGAAGCTGTGCTGATACTCGATCCTCCAGTGTTTGTTTGCACAGCTCTGGGCTGCCCTGCCGTGGGGTACTCGGCAGAGCATCGGGCCCTCCCCAGAGAAAAGTGCCAGATTCGTTTTCATGGCTTCTTGCAGAGGGATTGCTTTAGGGGTCCATTCCTGTAAGTTAATATTTGCAATGCCCAAGGCTTAACTGAAACCAGGCAGTGCAGACATCTGATAACCATAACAGAGGAGATGCTTTTTCCCCACAAGAGCAACTTGGAAAAACAAATCCCAGCGCTATTCCCTTTAGAAAGATAGCAATATGGAAAGAAAAGCATCAGAAATGGTGCTGTGTGGTTTGCAAGGGGTTTTCTAGTTGGGTTTTTGGGTTTTTTTGAGTGAGTTTTTTTTTTTTTTTGGTGAGCTGCTTGTGTTTGCCTGTATTGCTCAGGGGTTTGGTTATTGTCTCTGCTTCTTTCTAGCTGGGTTGCCCTTCCTCATCATTGAAACAAGCACAATCCAGCCCTACCAGCGGGGCTTCTACTGCGACGATGACAGCATCAGATACCCGCTGAAGACGATGGAGACTATCAACGATGCAGTGCTGTGTGCTGCGGGCATCCTCATCGCCATCCTTGCTGTAAGTACCACCTCCAAAACCTCCTCTCCTGTCCCTTGGGCATCCTCGATGGCTTTTTGTCACCTCTTTAGCCGATGGCACCAGCATTCCGTCAACATTGGTGCTTTAACAGTCTTGCTGGTGTGTCCACACTATCTACCGAGGCACACATCTCCTCTGCAGTTATTTGACTTCCACTTGAGTGGAGCAGTAAACATTTGCAAATGAAAGCTTGTAATGGGAGGAATGAGATTACTCTTGAAGCCCATAAACAGGCTCAAAGCTGTTTGGGCAAGTCTGTGAGCTCCACAGGAGTTTTTTCACTCTCCAGTAGGAGTTCAGAGTAGAAGCAAAAAAGACTTGAGTGTCAGTAAGGACTTGGCATGGTTTGTCCCTATTCAAATAACTCTTGGTGTTTGCCTATTTTATAAGGTTTTAAAAAAAAACAAACAAAAACCAAAAACAAAACCAAAAAAAGATACATCTTTTCAGCTAACTAGTGCCTGGAAAAGTTTCACAGGTTGGTATTAGATTTTAAGAGATTGTATATTACAGCCATTTTAAAAAGACAATTAAAACCTTCCATGGGGAGCACATTCCCAGAGTTCTCACTGTAAAAAGTAGCTAATGCACCACCTTCCCAATGCCTCCTCATTTCTCTTTTCCTGCCAGCTCTCCTAGAGCTGTGCTAGGAAATGATTGCACAGTGAGAGCTTTATATGTCAGCCAAAAAGCTGAACTCAGCCCATGGAGCTGAGCTTCCTTATGCCAGCATGTATCTGGTACTGAGGCAGAAGGCAAGAGCTGTCTCCTGGTTGTTGGTTAAATGCTTCCAGCTGAAGATGAAATTCCCCTGTGAAAAGTACCTACATTTTCCTTCTCACTTGCAGCCAGCAGAGCTCTGGTGCGTTCCCAGAGATGCTGCCGCCTTCTCGGTCCTTCAGCTGGGAGGGATGGAGATGGAGAGGTTGGGAGCACTTGTTCCCCTCTTGGCTTTCATCTTTCCTCATAGGAGCAATGTCATGGGTAATAGGTGTTTTAGCATGGCACAGTGCCTGCTTTGGTAATACCCCATCCCCAGCCTTGCTGCTTCATGCTGTGAATATCTCCATAATTTCCTGACCACATATACTCACTTAGCAAAGTAGGTCCCCAAAACTTCCTTGTTTCTATGCCCCTAACCTCCCCAAAACAAGCCTGGAAGGTGCCAGACCCCCAGTTCTATAAACACGGCAGAATTTTATCCTGCAGGTGAATTAGCCTCAAGTGTGGAAAAGCCATAAAAACAAAATGAAAAAGCCTCTCATTTTCACATTACTGTCTGAGCTATCGGCACACCGGCTTCATGCGGAGTGTGCTTCTGATCAGTAATGAGGCAGTGGCAAGTACAGGAGTTGGAATAGAAACTGGAAACATAATTGACTGCCTATGTGATGCATCAACTTTCTACCACGAAATAGCAGGTCAATTAAAAGAGAAAAAAAAATCCCCAAAGAGTTAGATGTTTCTGCCCTGGTTTCACTATGCCCACAACAAATGTAACTTAATAAGGTAAATTCAAAAGCTCAGTTATTTGCTGTTGAGTGATACAAATGGCTAATGAGGAATCGAAGCAGCTGATTTCTTTACTATGGCAGTATGCATGGAAAATTCAAGTCAGCCTGACCTCTTTTTTTCAGATATAGCCCAGATACCAAAATTACTGTAGCATAATAGGAATTCCTTCCAAATCCACAAAGCACTGACTCTGCTCCTTTCACTCACAATGCTTGCCTTCGAAAGGCAGGACAGTGGATATGAGGACTTCCAGGGAGTTGGTGTTTTGGATGGTGCAGCCAAAACTTCATGCCCTTGCTTTACGTGGCATCATGGGCAGTCTAGCCTGGGGTAAAAGATCCAAGTCATGTTTTAAATGGCTTGAGGACACGCAGAGTGCTCGTTAAGTAAACGTCAGAGGCAAAGACCTTTGCTTTGATCAGGATGTGAGAGGATATGAATTTAGTTTTAATACTTTGATATTTACTGGCTTCAGGCAAATTTCTGTGCCGATGACCCTGGAGAGGCTCGTGCCCCTTGGCTGTGTGCTCTCCCATCTCTTCTGACTCTTCTTGCTGGAAGATGGTTAATTTGATCAGCACAGAAGCCTGTTGATGGTCCCTGGGATGGCCAGGGGAAGGTGGTATTTTCCTCTTCCTGAGCCTTGTATGGCTACCGCTGCTATGGTGCCTTGTGTCCCCACACCTTATAGGTCTTGAAAGCCTATGAAAAATACCTAAGGAAATTAATTTCCTAGATGATCTAAATTACACAGCCGGATTAGCTGGTGTTTTACAGTTGAAGGTGATACGCTTCAATGTGATTAGACATAGAGAATGTTACACCAGAGACGTAAGTGATTAGAAGAGCTCTAACAGTAATTACAGGCTAATTGGATTGCTGGTAATACCTTATAATAATGATACAATGGGCACGACAACCAAAAGACTGCAGAAGGCATTCACAGACGGAAAAGTTTGATATTGGCTTCTCTTTAGTGAGCATCTTCCTTAAATGTATGTGACTGTCCCCCAGGAGCTGTGCCCATCATGTAGGTATGGTAGATGTCCCATATGGATGGCTCTCCAGAAATGCAAGGCGTAAGAAGAGCTTAATATCTTTTAAGACTTGTTTTCTTTTCAGGATGTCCTTTCAGTTTGTGAACATCTGTGCTGCATTAGTTTTTCACCATCCTGCTTTATCTGGGACAGCACTGCCAAAAAAACAAGTTTACCCACTTTTTAGCTTCTCATTAAGATTGAGCCATGGGTTTAACTAAGCGGGGAGGGTTCATGGCTGCCCAGCAGCATGCTAGTGAGGGAATGAAGTCTCCAATTTACAATCTGCTACATGTGTGCAATTACCCAGACCACCAACGGTGAGAGAAAAATATTAATCCCCGGACTTTTGTTGGTCCCTGTTTAAAATGGTCACATGCCTTTCCCAGGCCAAGAGCCTTGGATTTACGTGGATCTGTTTGTGAGTTTGAAGTAATGGCACATCTGCCAGTATCTGATGTCATCCTTAATTTGTCTCGTCTGCTCTCTGCAAAAGCCATGAGTTTTGAGCCTTGTAGTTCCCCTTCTTCAGAATTCAGGTTTTCAACAGGCTGCAGGCAGTGGCTGTGCCCTCGTGCATGAGCCTTTGTGTCCATCAGAACAACCTGGAGTTGCCTCCTGACAGAGGAGCAAGAGATGCTCCAACGTCCCTCTGCAGTTATCGTGCCAGTAAACTTCCTGGCTGACAGCTTGCAGTGGAAAGTGGTCCAAAATGGAGATAAACCATGGTCTCTGGAGTCCGTGAGGATTAAAATGATGCTGGAGCCAGTTAGCTGCAGCTCCCCAGATAACTCTTTGTCAGGACCAGATTTCCGAGAGTAAATCTCAGCGGTAACTGTAAACCCCGAATGATGGTACAACCACCCAAAGTATTTCTGTGCATGGTAGCAGAGCACTCTAGCTTGACCTTTATTTTTTATAATTATTATAGTTGTATCTTTCTTTGATAAGCCTTCTTAGCTGCAATTTCAGCTGCCTTAGGTCAACCTTGGTTTTTTCAAGCTGTGGTATGAGTGAGTTCAAACAATGATACCGCTTCATCTCCTCTTAGTCTAATTGCCATACTTTTCCAGTTTATTAGTTTCCAAAGGTTGTGCCAAGCTTTTAAAAAAGGTAGGCAGGGGAGCCTTGTCTCCTGCATGCTGCTGGCAGGCTGCCAAGCTGGGAGGAATATTGCTGTCTGCTCCAGAAAGGGATTAATATGAAGGCATTTTTCCTGACAGTTAATTTTACATATCACAGTCCTCGTGACTAGAGAGGGGCAGGGACGAGGGGGCAGCCAAAAAAAACCCAGAAAAAAACCCCAAAACACCACCAACAAAAAAACCCACCTCTTTATTATTCGGGTATAAAAACATTAAAAGTAATGAATAAAATCCTAAAGCTGTAAATCTGGAGCTCAAAACCTAGGTGTGTAATGTGACAGAGAACAATTTAAGCCTTTGCCTCTTTGGGAGAGGTGCGACATTTGGACTTCATTTCACAGCCTGATTTTCATTAACCTGCCTTTTAAGAGTCAGGATTATGAGAAGCCAGGTCCTCTGCTCCCTGGCAGTGATTTATGGTGATATTGTCAAACCCCAGCACCTCTGACACAAGAAAAACATTATTTGCTGCCATGCAATGGCAAGACCCCTTGAAATGCCGAGAAATAGCTGGTGTTTATGGAGGCTTTGAGCAGCTTGAATTGGGTGTGGTGGCAGCAAATTTTGGGTGAGAATCTGGAAAGTTTGGGGCTGAGTCTTCCTCTGTTGTGTTCGTGGTTTTCGGAGAGGAAGATAAGCAGGTTCTGAGGTTGTTAGTTTGTTTTCCTCCAAAGTGAGTTTGATATGAGACTAGTGAATCTGGCCTCTCCTCCCCAAATACACATTGATTCTTTATCTGGTTTATGTTAAATTTTTTTTTCCACTATGCTAGTACAGATCTGGGGCAGTATTTCACTTCTGTAAAGATATGCCAGCGTGCTAATCCAAAATCTGGCTTTTTTTCTTTCTTCTTTTTTATGGAATTTTTTCATAAACAACATTTTGAGTGCTGCAGTCTCTTCTTGAGAGGGAAGAGGAGGAGGTTGGAGAGATGCTGGGCTATGGGCTCTCCTTCCTCGCTGTGGAAGCAGATTCAGTTTGAGATGCTTGGAGCACAAAGAGCTGTCTTGGCTCTGGATTTGCCACACAGCACTGTTTTTTCACAGCATCTTTCCTACTCTCTAACCTCTGTAATGTTTCCCCCCCCCCGCCTCCAGATTATAACGGGAGAGCTCTACCGCATCCACTACCTGAAAGAGAAGTCACGCTCCTTTATCCAGAACCCCTACGTGGCAGCGCTCTACAAGCAGGTGGGCTGCTTCGTTTTTGGCTGTGCCATCAGCCAGTCCTTCACAGACATTGCCAAAGTGTCCGTCGGGCGCTTGCGGCCACATTTCCTGGAAGTCTGTGATTTGGATTTCTCCACCATCAACTGCGCCAAGGGAGTTTACATCCAAAACTACACCTGCAGGGGAAGTGACAGCAAGGTCCAGGAAGCCAGGTGAGAGCCCGTGGCATCAAAGTGATGGGTTGCCGCCATCAAAATGGTGTCTCACACTGAATACATCTCAGGGTTTCTCTTCCAGCAATAGATGATTCAAACGCTGCTTTCTCTGCAAAGGCTGTAACTTTGTCTGCCAGTGACAGGCAGTTTCCCTTGGGAATTATGGGACTTGGCTGAATAATATTTCTTTTCCTTTCTCTTTACTCCTACACTATTGTTTCCCCGAGCAGTTGCTCAATATGGGAATTCACCATAAGAGCTGAGCTCATGGTGAGCAGCTTGAAATGTCCCATGCGGTGGAGCAGAGGGTTTCTCTTCCAAGGAGGCTCCACACAGGCTGCCAGCACCTCCCGTTTGAGCTCTCTATCAGATCCATCAGATGCTCAATTTTTGACATTTCCAGGGGTGTGTTTCACATGCTGCAATTAAGCGACTGGAAAAGTTGCTCGCTTCTTATTTCTTTATGGTTTCCTGGTTATTTGAGGCAAGACGAGTTATTGGGCTATCCTGGAAATAACTGCTGTCTCATGAGTACACCAGGAAGGGACGAACAATGCAAGCATCCTGTCCATCCGTTCGCTTTCTGCCTCACGAGTGAGTGGGGTGGATAACAGGGGTTTTATAACCCAAAAGATTGGGGGTAGTGGGTCACTCTGCTATTTGGCACGCTCTCAGTAGCAGCAGTCACCATATTACATGTAAAATTATAATACCAAAGATTATACTGGCTGGTTCTTAGCACCTGCTTTGTTTTGCAGGAAATCCTTCTTCTCTGGGCATGCGTCTTTCTCCCTCTACACCATGCTGTATTTGGTGGTAAGTAGCCTTAGCCATGCTTGAGATTGAGCTGATCTGTCCCCTGTCCCCTTTTCTTGAGGCACTCACCCACATTCGGTAGCAATAACAGCATGTTGAGCATTGGAGGTAGAGGGTCAGTTGAAAAAAAAAAAACAAGCCAGTTGTGGAAAGATTCCTTCACGGCCCCTGTGGTGTTATTTGGGATGGAGACTCCTGGGGTGATACTGAACTGTGCAGCTTTGGGATGGAGCCAAGCCTGCAATTGAATTCGAATCCTACTAAACCTGTGGACGACCTGTGCAATTTTGTTCACCCCACGTTGTGGTTTCCGCTGGGGAGAGTTTGGGGCAAGCCAAAATGTTGCATCGATGGAGAAGGGAGGACATGCCATTGTGGCTCTGTCAGGGGGTTGAAGGCTGGTTCCCAAATGTACCAGCGGAGCAGGTGGAGCAGCCTCTGCCCGCCTGGATCCGGAGTGGAGGGCTGGGACTTGTTTTTCTTTGTCAGCGAGAAATGGCTCTACCCTTCCTGCGCCGGGGCTGGGGCTGGGGCAGCTGCCAAGCTGCTTCCTTCTGGGGCTGCGGGAGACATGCTGCCTGCACCCCGCAAGGGGCTGGACCCTCACACAGAGTTTTGGGACGATCTGGACAGTGATTTGCATTTGGTTTTGGTTTTTGTCATTAATTTATTTTAAGAATCAGGGAAAAAAAGATTTTGGATTCCTTTCAAGATTTGTGACCCACTTCATCTCCTGTAAGCTCAGACTAGTAAGCAAAGAAACAGCATGGCACTGATAAAAACAATAAACGTGAGCTTTTATCTATGAGCAGTGCTTCCCCCCATTACGTTACGAAAAGATAAGTTACCACTGCTCCCTCTTGCCTTTTCAGTCCTGGATCCTCCCTCCCCTTACAGTGAGCAATTTCTGTAATTTAATTACTAAGCTTTCCAGGCTGTTGGGGGCAGTGTATTAAATTCTTTCCTCGGTTTCCTTTTTATTTTTGTTTTTTGTGTGTGTGTGTGTTCTTGGAAAACTTTTGAATTTCTTTGGTAAACATTTTGGCCATTTCCTCCCAACCGTGTTACAATGTAGAGCAACCATGGTGGTGCTTTGCAGGAGACACAGCCCTCCACTGCTGCTGTTGCAAAACTTTCTGAGCTGAGTTTGGAAACCATCGCTTACATTGGCATTTATTTTTTTCTGAGGAGATCTGCAGGCAGTCACATAAGTCAACCCAAGATGCTATTGAGCCTGGCATCCAGAAACGGCGAGGACTGCCAGTCTATTAAGTCGGTGGTGGGTTCACTGCAAATACTTAGCAAGATTCAGGTTGTCCTTCCAGGTATTTTCTTAGGATATGCTGCTCACTGGCCTTTTTGGAAGCCAAGCCCAATGCTTTACCTTTTGCACAGGATCATACCCTGCAGCATTCTTCAGAATAGGGGACAAACCCAGAGAGCTCACCCCCTCCCCACGTTTCCACTCTGCTCACTTTGTCAGTGGCTGCCCGAAGTCGATTTGGGCTTGACTGGATTCCTTCAGGGCACTGGGCAGACCATGTTGTTTCGCCAGGTTTTTTCCATGGTTCTATGAAAATCCAGCAGTTACAGAGCAGGAGAGAAACAAACAGAAATGCTGGTGGCAGGGGGTGCACGGAGACCCCAAAACTGCAGCATGCATGCAACATTCCCATGGAAAACCTGCATGGCTCATTTCCCAGAGCTGCTTTGCACCAATGCCTGCTGCCTGATTTTCTTTTTAACTTTTCAGCAGGCTTCAAAATTGGCATTTACCTCCTGCATAACACTTCAGAGCAGAAAGCTGCCTCTGATCTCTCTTTGCTGCCCTTCCCTGTCCCCATATGGGAGCACCCGAGCTATCAGCACTCAGCAGCCTCTGCCCTTCTCGCTCCTGATCCAGGACAACAGGCTGCTTCACTTATCCCTCTCCATGGAGGGGTTTTGACACCCAATCCCTTAAGGATGGTTTTATTTTTATCCCTTGTCCCAAATCTGAGATAAGGTTGGTACATGTTCTGTCTGATCAGCTGCTCAGTTACCTTGTGCCTTAAAAAGTCAGGGAAAAATAACACCAACTGTTTGGTCATAAATTGAAGGGAGAAAAAGCCAACTTAAGACAAAGTTAGTGTGATGCAGTGTGTATCAGAGGCAAGGAAATTATAATCTTTAGGGTCTTTTCCAACCTAAGTGATTCTATGATTCTAACTTGTCTAGCAGCACCCTGCTGTCCATCGCTCCAGCTCCCTGGCCGTCAACAGAGACTGAATGAGAAATCTCATAGAAAAAGGGAGGAAGAAAATCTGTTGCACTGGAGAGGCTGATAATACCCCAAAATAATAAAATAATAAAAAAGTACATATTATTATAACCCAGAGGGATTTTATTTAATGTAAAATAAACCCTGCTGTCTTGCCCAGCTCAATGAACAAGAGGGATTTTGGAAGCCTGGCTAGAAATGTGGCATCTACCATGCCAGTGCCTGCAGGAGGTGGGTTTGGTGGATTTAATCAGGGAATCATCTCAATCAAAACAAAACAGCTGTTCCCTGGTTCCTGGGAAGTGAGGGATGTGCCACAGCAGGTTGCTGCTGGCGGTTTGGGTACCGGGAGTTTGCTGGGAGCCTTTGCAGAGTAGGGGTATTTGTGGTGCTGAGCACGTGCTGCAAAGGGTTGGCTGATCAGCCATGTCCTGAGTGGATTCCCTATTGAACAATACTTCATATTTCAAGGATAAGTCACTTCCTGTCGTTCCTGGCGTTCCCTGGCTTCACTCTTATAGCCTGTTCTGATTATAATGTTTTCAAGTTTGCCTCACCTGAGAGAGACGGGTGCCAGAAAGTTTTAGTCTGTCTATTAAAAGGTACCTAGATTCCCACGCATCCCAGGGGCTTTGCACCATGGAGCTGGATTTGTCCAGGTATTTGGTGGCCAGTGGATGGGTGACCATGGCTTCCCCATCGCCTGGCACAGCAGCAGCACCCTGCAGTATCCATCAAGAAGAAGTGGTTTGGCCACGGGCTTCCAGTAGGAAAACACAGGTAGATGCCAAGCCCCAGAGGGCTTTGGGGGAAAAGTCCCAGGGAAAGGCAGTTGCAACGCAGTAAAATCTCATGGGTTTTAATTCTAAACATTAGGAATTCAGGACCAAGTTTCTTGTCACCAAGAATACTCAATTAACATCAGGCCTTTGTATAAAAAAATTTAAAAGGGGAAATTACGCTTGGGTAATCCTCTTTGTCTTAATATTCCTTGCTTTGTTACTGCTTGGCTGAGCAAGCCTGTAATACGTATTTATAGCAGGCTGAGGAAAGAGGAGGTATGTAACAGCTTATTCCACACAGCCCTCTGGACCTGACCCACACCTCTCAGTTTTGTGCCACTGGAGTCTTTGCAGAGAGTGATGGGGGCTCTCTGCTCCCCTCGAGCATGTGAGACTGTAATGCTGATGTTTTGGTGTTTTTTTTTTTTTTGCTGTATGAAGTTACCTGAAACCACATAGAGGATGTAGAAAAACTAAATTAATATCAGAAAAGCTAAATTAATATCCCTCAGCAAGGCTGGCTGATTCTGGATGAAAGGGGAGTAAAACAAGGCAGCTTGCATATTTAACGTGCATTGGTGAATGAGGCTGAAGACTTCAGATCAGAATGGGGTTTAGTGTGTTCTACTAATTTCCGTGAAAAATTGGAAATGTTGCTGGTTTTGTGTCTCTGGGTGAGTGTGAAGCTTTGCACTGGGGCTTCTTGCTGAAGGGTGAAGAAGGTCCCAATGCCCTCATGCTGCTGCATGATGATGTGCCCCTGCGAAGGAAACTCCATGGTGGTTGTGGACTTAAGAATCAAATTTAGCAGTGACCTAAGTAAGCAGATAAACTGAAATTACATCAGAGGTCAGGGTCAAGGTGTGAACTGTATTGCTGAACTGATGAGGGTGTTCCTGATGGGGTGGGAGGATGCTGTACACTCAGCAAAGGTAGGGAAGAGGTGAACAACACATCCCTTTGGTGCTGGGGGAGGTCTTTGTCCTCCTTCTGTCCTTGTGCCCTGGCTATCTCGGTGCTAAAAGCCAAATTCTGCCATTCCCCTTCCTCCAGCTGGCTTTGACCCGCCAGGGCAGTGTGTTACATAGAGGTGAGTTTGGGTTTGAGGGGTTTTGGCCTCATACCACTTTGGGTACCACTCTGTTTGCAGGTGGGGCTGGAGATGGAGGTAACTTCAGGTCAGACAGTCAGAAACAAGACCAGCTATTTCCCAGAAGGAAAACTTAGCTGTGACTAAGGGACATGGTTGATGGAGTTCAGCCTTGCGGTGAGGAGAGCATGAACAGGATGGGATTTCTGGGTGGGAGAAAGCCTCAGGAGGCTGGAGGTGATGCTTTTAGTCCATGTCCCCTGCCAGCTCCTCCTTGATGGGTTTGTTCAGGGGTCGCTTATGGCCATGGGCTGTCCCCACCAGCACTGTGGAAGTCCCCTGGCAGAAAAAGCAGTGTGACATCCTTCAAGCCATCTGCTTTGTGGTAACTCGGCCTCTGCCAGGAGACAGTGGATGGGAGCTCCAAATAACTCCTGCTCTGTGTGATCCCTTTTCATTCCATCCAATCTTGCTCCTGTTGATGCTCCTCCTGACTTTCACTACCCTGTGATGATCTGTGGTGAAAATAACCCTTGTTGTGGTCTTGCTCCTCCATCCCCTTCCAGGAAGGGCTCCATCCAGCCCCATGTTCTCATCCAAATCTGGTAGTCCTTAGCAGGCAGCACTTTGGATTTGCTCCTAGGTTTCAAAATAACCTACAAAAGCAGGTTTTCAAATAAATTGCCAGGAACTTCCCATTTCTTAGTATAGCACTGATTCCTGTTTTAGGGAAATTCTGATCCTTTTGGCCCCAAACCCCAGCCTTTTGCTTTTTAACCTTCTTTTGTTAACTGTGTTTTTCTTTCATGCTGAGGTCAGAGGCAAAGTTTGGAACACCCTGAGGCTTGCTTCTAAACTTCTTAGAGGATCCTCAGCACCCTGGTGTTTGAGCACAGTTTTTGACATACTGCATTCTTATAAAGTGCCTGTGGAATATGAAAAGTACTGTTATCCTTTTCTTTTTTTCTCTCTTTATGAATGAGTAACTAAAGAGCAGTTTTTCCAAGACACTTATTGCAACAGTAAAAGTAGCTCAGTCAAGATCCTCACACTGATAGTGTGGTGTCTGAGATGCATCTGTTTGGGTGGGTTTTACTCCTCCAAGATATGCAGGTGTGGGTATGAGTTGGGTGCTGGGGACTTGGATGGTACCCAGCACACCCCACACTGTGCCACACTGCCTTTGCACACCTTTTCCAGGGCTAAAGCATGAAGTTCAGAGCTGTGCTTTGGGAGGAGCAAGTCAGTATACAAACGTTTATTTTTCAGTCACTTCAGCCCCAAAAGTGTCTGCTTTATTGTGTGTTCAAAATCAGGGTTAGCTTTTTATTCCTAATTTTTAATTGATACTTTGCTTCCTCACCTGTAGATGACCTATTTAGTCCAAGCATGTGAGATGGAATGATTTGAAGGGATGTCAAGACTGTGCAAAAGGGACAAATGTCAGATTACCCAGCAGAAAATTTCTTTCTTAAGGGGTTTGATGTGACAGAGCCTCAAAACTAAAGAAAGATGTTAAGGTTCAAGTCTTCCTGGTAGAACTAAGAGTAACCGTTTATAAGATGTAATACTTGGAGCTAATTTTACTCTGCAGCAACATACTGGAATCTGAGTTTTGCACTGTCACCTGGGCTGGGCTGAGACTCTAGAGTGTGAAAATAATCCTGAGCCAGTTTAGCTGTGGCAATAGAAGCCTATGTTTATATCTTTTGTGTGCTTTAAAAATGCTACTTTCCACAAATGCTAATTTTTCAAGGCACATTCTCTCTACACTGAGAAGCTGTGTTTAAAGATATCAGGGCCTCGAGCTCACTCTGTCACCAACTTCCCTGAATATTTCCCAGGAGTATCCTGCCCGCGCAGTTCATTTTCAGTGGCAGATGACTGAGTGCGCAGATACCATGGCAATGAAAATGCAACCAGCCTAAGCTTTGCAAACTAAAATTGCAGTTTCCTGTTAATCAGCTGCGTAGATATTTGCTTGCAGGATGAAGTGCCTGCTGTTAAATCACTGCAAGTGACTGTGCAGCATGAGGTTGTGCTATTCTACAGCTCCAGCTTTCCAGCTCAGCAGTGGCTGTGTTTTACCTGGAGGGAAAGCACCTCCTCATTGGCGGTGGGTTTTTTGGGTTTTTTTTTTTTTTTAGATCTTTCTGGGCAGAACATGCCTCCTAATTTTGATATGTTGATTGTTGACTCTTCTTTCTCCTGAGCGTAGAAATTGTAATCACAAACTAAAGAACCAGCCCAGTGGTCCATTCACTGGGCTACATCAGGGTGGGTTTGCTGTGGGGATCGAGAGAGCTGTAACTCGTCCCATAGCATTGCATGCATGAGTTTGCATGGTGTGGGGTGTGCACTGCAGTGACGTGGCTCTGTCCCCAGACTTAGGCTGGTTTGCAGATCTGCTCCCCAGAATCGTAACGTGCGTTAGCCAGTGCTGAGCTGTTTTGGTACCACTCTCTTCCATGTTAATTGGCTAACAATTTGGATAATTTGGAGCATCTGCTTTATTCAAATGACATGATGTTTAATTTCCTCTAAAAAGCCCAGTGTGTGTTCTTTCCAAAAAGCGGTAAATATAATGTTTATGCAACAGCCAAACATACTAAATTGGCCAAAATGATGTTTCCCTCTTATCAGCTTTCCAATTAATTCTGCTTTTATAGGTAAATGGTGTCATTAAGTTATTTGTGGTTTCAGGGAACCCGGCGAGAACTTCATTCCCTTTTATATCAAGGCAGTGTAAACTGCTCTGAGTGTGTGAAAGGGATCGTAAATAGGTATTAAACTCCTTTCCAGCCCTCTGATATTGTGGAGTTCTCTGAAGCATGCTGGGTCTGACTTTCAGTGCTTCATTTAGGAACAGGCAGAAAATACCTGCTGTGGCTGAGCCCACGGGCCACAGAGCCGAGCTGCATTTTTCCAGGCACTTTTACACTCTTTGAGCCATTGAGTGCCTCTCTCCTCCCCAAGCCTGAAGGTTGCCGTGGCGTCCCTCCCTTCCCCAGGCTTCCTCCCCGTGCTGCGCCCAGCCCTGCTCATCTATGGGCAGTGGGTTGCTGTTTTCCTGTCTTCTCTTCCCGCCTGGCTTCCCGGTTCCCGCAGGAACTGGCCATGTCCACTGGCCAAAACTGAAACAGGCCAGAGATAGCCATGTGGGGGGACAGTGTCCATGTGACGTCACGTCAGCTTGGTCTTCTTGGGTCAAGCCAGGACCTTGCATTTCCCTCGCTGGGTAGGAGTGAGTGACTATGCCATGCAGTGGGGCAGCTGCTCCCTGCACCCCTGCAAACCCCGGGGCTCAGGCTAGGAAACATGATGGCAATGTTAGAGGATTGCATTCTGCACCCCCGTCTGCAGCGGTTGCAGCTGTGACTTGGAAGTCCTTGGGGCTGGCTCTGGTGGTGCCGCATGCTGCGCTGATTCTTGGTTTTCCTCTGAGAGATGCTGTGGGTCCTGCATGGCCCAAATTTGGGACTTTGCTTCTGTTATGCACTGCATGGCAGTGGGAAGGAATTTCCTTACTCTGCCAGATGGGATGTTGTGTGGAGGCTGAAGCAGGGCTGCAGTGTGGGCCAGAATGCAGAGGGTCTCAGGCCCTGACTCTGGCTCACCAAGGGCTGCACCCATCCACCTCTGCCCTCATCCCTGACATGGGTTAAAATCCCTCCAGCTGCACTCCCCTCTGAATGACAGGCCACACGTTTGCAAAGAGCAGCCTTCTTCTTTGACAGCTCCCTCTTCCTTGAGGCACAGGGGTGCAGGTGCCCCACGGCCAGCCCCACAGAGCAGTTGCTGCTGTGTGTGCACAATTTGGGCACAGCTTTTCCTTTGGTGCCCTCAAATTAACACCACCTTTTTGTTTTCCCTTCTTCCCTGCAGTTTTATCTGCAGGCCAGATTCACGTGGAAGGGAGCCCGCCTGCTCCGTCCCCTCCTCCAGTTCACCCTCATCATGATGGCGTTTTACACTGGCCTGTCCCGTGTGTCGGACCACAAGCATCACCCCACCGATGTGCTGGCAGGCTTTGCACAGGGAGCCCTGGTGGCTTACTGCGTGGTGAGTATGACAAACTGTGCAAGGAATGGCAGCAGGGATGCTGGTGGGGGTCCTGGGGAAGTAGTGGGCATCACCACAGCCCATGCTGCTGTGAGCTCAAGTAACCCCTGTTACAGCCGGGGACATGGCAGGAGGCAGTGCTCTGGGGTCTGGGGTCATTGCTGCCTGTAAACCTTGTTTGCAGGTGGAACATAGCTCAAGAGTGGAGCACCCTACCAGTCTGATGGTGGGTGCTCTGACAGGCACCTGGCAAAGGAGGGTGCACCCACCAGCACTTTCCACTCCCCATGAGCAAATATCACTGCCATGCTGGAGGAGTGAAGCAATTCCTCTTCTCCCCCACCACACAAACTGCACATTCAGCAAAAAAAATGCAACATTGAGGGGTTTCCCCATCAGCCTTGAGCTGCTGGAGGCTCCTGGGCAAGGGGCCCCTTCACCCAGGCAGCTTGGGGCACTGAAAAGGTGTTCAGACAAGGGAGAGTATTTCCGTCTTGCCCAGCAGCATTTGCTTCTCCAGCTGCTCTCAGTAATGAG